AAACATTTGTTGCTCCCATCGAACCTGAATCCTAAAAAATCTCTCAAATCCATTGTTACCTTCATTAATAAATTAAATCCTTCTGCTGCTAACAAGAAGAGGAATATAGATAAATGATTTCCTTGTCTGAGACTGCGACCCATCTCAAATTCTTTTGTGGGACTCCCATTCACAAGAACAGATATTGAGTTTGTTTTTAAGCATTATGTGATCCAACTCCTCCATTTCTCGTGAAACCCTATATTTTGCAAGACGAAGGTAGGAAAATTCCAATCTACATAACCAAATACTTTTTCAAAATCTACCTTAAACATTAACACTTATTTTTTATTTCTTTTCGCCTCATCCACCATTTAGTTTACAATGAAAATTCTGTCAATGATTTGTCTACCTGATGAGGTGAATCCTAAAATCACCACTCTGTAAAAAAAATTGATTTTTTTAATTGTCATTTAAAATTTCTCTCATTTTAACTCTTCAATAAAATTAGTCACTAAAATATACTTAAATGTTTACGATATTTAAACATTTATAAAAAAATTGTTTATAGGAATATTAAATGTTTAAATATTTAACCTTTAAGTAGAATTATGTTGTTATGCATTAAACTCGCTTGTTGTGCATTAAAATCTCATATTATATAATCACTACTACAAAATAGACCTTTCGTAACACCTATTTACAACAGTCTTACCAAGCTGTAGCATCCCAAAATTTGTCTCATCGTTTCTTGATCTACTGGCTTGTGTTTCTCTGCATTTTTGCATTTCTGCATATCATGACATTGGCTCTCGAGACATGGGATCAAGGTGATTCTATGGCTCATGGTTCTCTTTTATCGCAAGAGTTTAAACAACGAGTGTCAGGGGTGTCGGCATTTATTTTATTCAGCAGGTTATTTTCAGCACAAGAGACATGTCATAGGTTATCTCGGGCATTTTTACAGTTATCATGTCAAAAGGCTTAACATGGCTTAGAATGGGTGAAAACGGACGAATATGCAAGTTTCCCTACAAATGACACATTTTTCAAAATTTGTGAGTGGTTAACCGATTAACCAATTTGTACTAGCAAATGGTTAATCAATTAACCAAAGGACAATTTTCCCAGATATGTGCATTTTCAATGCTTCCACTTTTGGGGTATATTTTAATCACTTGTGAATTGATTTCTACACTAGAAAAATGATCTAGAATCATTCTAAATTTTGATTAACTTTCAAAACAAATCCAATTTTTCATTCCTAACCCCATTCCAATTTTTAAAACCTCACTCGAAACCATAATTATACTCCTAATCAAGAGCTTATTTAAGTGAATTTTCTCCAACCCTCTCACAACCAACCTTCATTTTTCTTATCTCTCTACACATTGCTCTCAAATCCTCTCAACTTTTCTACACTCGAAAACTCCATTAGAGCTCTTTTCTTGAATTCTTTGATTATTCATTAGAATCCTTGAATTATAGAGCTAACTTTCATCATTCATCTCCATCATCTTCAGTTCATCATTTGATTTTAGTTTGGATTTGGATACGATTTTGGAAGCAAGCTTTTAAGTGATTCTTGGATCAACTTTGGCTTATTTTGGCTTGTTCTTCACTTCTCTTGCAAGAAAGTTCTTGGATCTTGAAGATTTCTTGGTTTTCTAGCTTGGATATATCAATTTTCAGTTGAACAACAATTACCAAAGCAAATCTCAGCTTTGAAGGTTGGTTAATTCTAAATCCAATTCTGTTTTGAGCTTACTTGGATAATCACAATGTAGATCTTCAAGTTTTAATTGATTTTGGTGATTTTGATCTATGTGATTTGTGATCTCAATGCTTGATTAAGTTTGATGATGTTTGATCATTGATTTGGTGATAAATTCGTGCATAATTGATTACATGATCATTTCGATGATTGCACATTGGATTAATTGCTGAAAGTGCTTTTGAATTGTTATTTTTCTGCTTCTGGTGCAGTGTTAATCGATTAACCAGTTGCATTACAAAATTGGTAAACAATCAACCAGTGTAAATTCATCCATTTTTGAGTGGTTAATCGATTAACCAATTTGCACTGCAAATGGTTAATTGATTAACACTTGACCAAAATGTGATTTTTGATTGTTTTCAAGCATGTTTTGATTTCTTTCCACCTCTAACCTTCATGGATTGATATGATGCATTTGTGTGGACTATTTTTGACTTGTTTCATCATGCTTGATTGTTTGATTTAGATTCTTCGACACATGATTTTTGGTTTCCGTTTGAATGCTTAACATGTTAATGTTGCTTGATTGATGTGATGATCATATGCTTTGCTTATTTGTATCATGTTAATGATTGATTGTTGTTGATTATCTTGCTGGACTTGTGATGTATGTTTGTATTCACTTCTGATCCCGTTTGTCACATCATCATTTGAATTGATTAATTGGTGTTAAAAGCATGTTGATCTTGTTGATTCATGACGATGCAATCTACTTGAACATTTGTGTTTGATTGTTGATGCATGCCCATCCTTGCATGATACTTGTTCATGATTGATGCTTGCTCATGTGGATTGCATTGAAACATGCTTACTGCCCTATCTTCTGCAACTGTTTTATTCTGAATTTACATGCTGTCTATGTTATGCTTGCTTGCTGCCTGCATTTTACACATGCTTTTGTGCTATATTAGTAGCTGTTAAAAGTTGTTGTGCTACCTTGCTGGATTTCATTGTTGTTTTATGCAGTAGGCATTGTTGTAGCTGCTGTTTTTGCTTGTTTTCTCTTGTTTTTGCCTTGCTTTTGCATGTTCCCTTAGGTTTCCTAGTCCAACTTAATTTCCAATTAAGTTTGGATTAGGATAGACATTAGGATTGTAATCCATGCATGATAACAAGTAGGTTAGTCCCTTTTAACCTCAAACTTAGGTCCATCTTTTGCATGCTAACATTAGGATAGAATTTTCTTTCGTATCCCAACCTTAGGACCACTTTGCATTACAATGTTAGGACCAAGTTTCTCGTAGACCTTTCGTGTGTCTCTCTTCTCATCTCGAAATAATTCAAAATACTTAATAAAGACGATGAACATTGTGTGCCACGATCCTTCAGCATATGAGAAATGATGAGTGGGGGTTTCTTCTTATTTATCTAGAGTGTTTAGCGTACGCCCCATGGACGATATGCGACACATTTGCTCCTATATCATAGTATTTAGTGCAACTTGAATCGCCAAAGCAAACTAATTCACATGACTAAAACTCACAAACAATATTCAAACCTTTTCATGGATGAAAGCACCAGTGATATATTGACCCAGAAATCCTAATTGTAACCTCAGTCACACATTACCTGAATCAATGCACCCTGACTTGACAAACCTCAAATGAACCAGATAAACTCCTTAAGAATAAAGAAAGGGAAGAAGAAAGAATTTGAGAGAGAAGGAAGAACGTTTTTATCATTTCGCATAGCCGAAAATTGTTCATCCTTTCAACATGTATGCTCCACTTGGCATAATAACTTGCGTAAGAAAAGGAAAAGAAAATAACAAAATGTAATTAAGTGCAGTTGATATCACCAAGGAATTCCACTACTTGCACACATAATCCTTCATCCAACCTGGTTTTTTTGTTTGCCTCTTTTCCAGTATTGGACTCACTTCTACATCCTCATTATTGGGCGTTTCCTCAACATGTATTGGGCCTCCTACTAATGGGCTCGTATCACTCACGCTCAACCTATGATGTTCTATATGAGAAAAACAATGGAGGATTGCTTATTGGTTGGTCCCATTTTGACTATGTAGGTTGTCACGAATCACGATGATAGAAAGAGAACTCCTAGTAATGTCTTTAAAATGAGATCAAATGCAATATCTTAGACCTCAAAAAGTCAACAATTGTGACCCTTTCAACAACTCAACTTGAGTTTATAGCAACTGTTTTACGTGTTTGTGAGAGCATTTGTTAAGAAGATTAAGTTGCCAATATTATAACAAAGTTTTTAAAGATGGAAACCATTAACTAATTAAGAGAAGAACCCATGACTGTCTTTGAGGGCTTGTAAGGTGGACTACTACATAGGGCATCAAATCTGCCAGAGTTAAACTATAGTAAAATTTGACTTTATTAAATATTTATTAGGTTAAATCGTGATTAAAAAGGGGCTCCTTTTGTTTTGTGGTTAAACAGTGACTAACTTACACAGGACCTCAAAAACTGATTATTCTAAAAGAACCATCTCAAACTTTTGGAGGTCATACATAGGTTAATCACTATTTAACTGGACAAATATTTTATAAAACCACATTTAGTTATAATTTAATTCTAAAATTTTTAAAATCCTCTAACAATAATTTGCCTTGTAAGCCTTCAAAGAAGGCATTGATTAAAAGATATATGTGGAGTGTGTAAGTTAATAGTAAGTAATTTGTTTTGAATTGTTGTAAACTAATTTGTTTTCTTATTGTAAATCAGTTTAAATAGAAAAGTTCATATGGCAACCCAAAAATTACTACATTGCTTAAATATTAAAGAATAAAAATAGCTCTAACATATTAGATATTAGAGGTAAAATTAGAAAGGGGCTCTTGAAATCATAATCAAATATATAATGAAGTGAAATAAATTTTTTATATTATATAAAAAAAAACAAATGGTATAAGAAAAACCCAAACCCAATTAGAATTAAACAAAATCTCAATTGCAATATACAAATTTATATACAAATTGCAGACTCACTATTGTATAGTCTAACAATTTGGTTGAGCACATGAAATCTCGGATTCAAACTAAATCACAAGTTATTAATTTTTTGTATTAATTATTCGTGTAATTACAAACCCTAATCTCTCAAATCTAAGAAACCTATAATGAACAGTAAAACTTTCTCAAAACACACCAATATTATTAATTATGTAAGTTAGTAATAGAAAAAGTAACCAAATAAACGAAACAACTTAAATAAAAAAGCTAACAAAATAAGCTAAAGTATTAAAAAAAAAAAAAAAACTTATTCATCTAAGCTAAAAATTCTCCAACATGGCAAACTCCACCATTCGTTGATGATCCCTTTCAAAAAGCTTACCTCTAAACTCATAAACAGAAACCATGAATTGTTGAAGTTCATCCATACTCATAGTATCAATATCTTCATTCCACCAAGCACCTATTTTCGAAACCCTAGCCAATTTCTTCACTTCCACAAGTTCCTTCTTCTCCATCTCCAACACATTCAACACTTGTTCATATTGTTTATTATACTTTTCGTAAATTGAACAACTTTCTTCTGACTTTAATCCCTCAAACTCGAGAGATCCGTTGACATAACTGTTGATAATTGTGTCGGTATCGGGGTGACCGAAACTGAAGAGCTTATGAGCACCGGAAAAAACAATGATGGATGCATGAACATCACATAGAATACAAAGTTCACTAGCTTTTTTGAATAAACCTTGTCTTCTTTTTGAGAATGTGACTTGTTTGTTAGATTCTTTATCAAGTTTCTTGATCTCAATCTTTTTGCGACCTGTGCTTTTCCTTTTTTGATCAGACATGGTGAAATTTCAGAAAAATGATATTAGGGTTTTGAATGATGAGAATTCTAATTAATTAATATATATATATATATATATATATATATATATATATATATATATATATATATATATATATATATATATATATATATATATATATATATATATATATATATATATATATGGAAAGAATTTATTTCGGGTTTATCCATTAAATAAAATTCTAATAAGTATCACAGAAAATGGATGGTGTAAATTATTTTACGTAAATTTAAAATAATTTATGTGATTTAACAATTTAAAGTATTTTAATTGAATGTATATATGTAATTCTTTTTACACATGCACTATCATTACACTCTAAGTATTAACTCACTCTTATTGCGACTATTTTAAATAAAATAATTAACATGAATTTTTACTTTTGCAAATATTTTAGATTATTAAAAAAAATATTCGATTGATATTTTAATCTTTGCTTGATTATTGATCGTTTTAGTGTGGTAGGTTAGAAATCCCTTTAAAATTAATTAAATAAAAAATTTATGTTGTAAATTCAAACATAAGTAGGAAAAAAGCAGGTATTTTGAAAGAAGAAAAAAGAAACAGATTATTGTGTGCAAAATAATTTCACAATCAATCTTAATATACAATAAAGAATAATTTGATTTCATGTCCATTAACACCAAATATAAAAGAGATTAATTGAAAAACATATTTAATGTAAAATTATTTTATATTGTCATTCAATTAAAATGAATTATTTTGATACATAATTATGAAATTAAAAATAACAAATAAATAAATTTTTTATTAAACTCTTTTAATAATTATTTTTTTCATATTTCTTTTTTTTATTTGTCAAAATAATTTATTCTAATTAAATTATAATATAAAATAATTTTACGCTGACAGTGTATTTTAATTAATCTCAGTATAAAAAACTTAACATAATTATACTTTAAAAACACAATTGACAATATCCCTGGGGTTGGAATTCGAGTTTACTGTTTTTTTTTTACAAATTAAACTTTGAGTTGAAAAATTTACAAAATATTTATGAAAATTTCATAATTTTTTTTAATATTTTGTGAAAGTACTTTATTTTAATTATATGATATATAAATTAGGTTTAATTATACTTTCAACCTCTAGTTTATCACTCTTAAAAAAATGATTTGAAGAAAAAAAATAAGAGATGCATCCACTTAAAATAATTTTATACAAATATTAAAAAACAACATGTATTTTATCAAATTACACATATATTTTAAAATTACATAAATATTTCATAAATTTATAGTTTTTATTAGACAGTTTACATTATTATTTTCATTATATATCTATTTTTTATCTCTCAAAAATTATATTTATTTATTGCACTTTAGGTCTAAATCCATATACTTAGCCCAAAATATAGTGAATTTGATTTCAAAAATTGTGTGTAATTGTTCCAATCAAACTCCCATTTATTTATATTTATTTTATAAATATAAATTATATTTCAAAAATACAATGACTTTCAAATTTTATTTTTTAATATTGTTAATACTAAAATAAAATTATCCATTAAAATAAGTAATTATACTCCAATAAAAACATATAAAAATGATTAAAATACATGAAGAAAATATTTTTTTTAGATAACACTATACTATAATTTCAAATAAAATAAAATAATAACAATAATATAATTTAATTGTTTAGTTAGGGTTTCAACCAATCAATTTTAAATAAATTAAAATTGATATGTGAATTAATAGAAATTAATTGGAATACACTTTTAGTGTAAAACTACTTTACATAATTATTTAATTAGAATGAATCATTTTGATACATAATTATGGAATCAAAAATTAAAAAAAATTAATTATTTTAATAACTACTTTTTCCATGTTTCTCTCTTCTCACGTGTTAAAATGATTCATTTTAATTCGATAATTATGTAAAATAGTTTTATAAAGACATGTATTTCAATTAATCTCGAATTAATAAAAATAAACTTTAATTAATTTGATTTGGTTTGACAAAATAATAATTAATATTTTTAATTAATTTAAATTAATTAATTAAATTTATTTATTTCTTAAATCTTCTTTGTAGGATTGTATCTCCCTAATTTGACCTTGGAGACACGTTAAAATATATTCCATTTGTCCCAAAAATATATGAGAAAAAATAAAAATCACACTTAAAAGTAAAAATATAATATTTTAACTAAGATTTTGTTGAAATAAATTATTTTGAAAGATGTAAAAATAATTCTAATTAGTTGTTGGTTATAGAAGAGATGAGAGTGAAAGCAAATTAAATGCATTTTGTATTTAATTTATAAAATAAAAAAATGAAAGTCTTTTTTCTCTTATATTTTAGAGTAAGAAAAATGAACTTTTTTCTCTTATAATATATTCTTTATTTTATTTAAATAAAACCTCGTATACATTGAAAATAGAGAAAAAGAGTAAAAAAATTGAGGGATCAAATAATAATAATAATAATAATAATAATAATAATAATAATAATAATAATAATAATAATAATAATAATAATAATAATAATAATAATAATAATAATAAAATAGTGAATTTATCAAAAATGTGTGTTACCTTTATGTATTTATTCTTAAATATATTCATTCCAACCAAAAGAAACAATTTCTATTTCTCAAAGGTAATTTAAATATGAATATTTTTATTAAAAAATTAATGCAAATTGAATTTGACAGATAATCTTATGTTAAGGACAAATAACAATTTGAGATATAAATAGAGGGGTAAGTGTAATATCCTAAATTTTGCCTTAAGATTAGTCGATTCATCTCGCATTTCATTGCATTTTTGCGTTGCATTTAACCAGTTGCAGAAAAAATCACGTTGCGCGCTCTTTAATTTATGAAGGGTAAAATGGTCATTTATTCGCAGTCGACTGTCAATTTGTGAATCTGAGTTGTAGTCAGGGGAATTTGAACCATTTGAATTTACTGATGTGAATCGAGGTCGAGGTTGTAATTGGAAGAGTTTAATCGTGGATGATTTGAGCCGGTGGAATTAAATCAATTCATTTTACTTGGATGAAGTTAGTCGGGAAAATGTGGACGTTTGAGTGTAATCGAACGGATGGGGTTTATTCTGATAAGGTGGTTCGTTTAGGTTGCCGAAAAGATTAGTCGGAAGTTGTATCGGAGACGAGAAGTAATCGGACAAAGTTTTATTTCATTTTAATAAAAAATTATTATTGTGTTTCAGGTCATTTTAATATCAAAAATATTATTATGATTCATTTCATTTTAATAATAAAAATATGTTAATTTTATTTCATTACATCAAAAAAAAAGATTATTATGTTAATTCATTTTAATTATTAAAAAAATTATTATGTTTTATTTCATTTCAATTATTAAAAAGTATTATGTTCATTTCATCTTAATATAAAAAAGGGGTTATTGTGGCTTATTTCATTTTAATCTCGAAAAATTCCATTTTTATCGAAAAGAAGAATAATAAAAAATGTTGTTTCATTACAATATCATAAAAAATAATAATAAATTTTTATTATAACATTAAAATTAATTTAAATTTTACAATATCAAAAATAAAATAAATAAATTTACAATTTTTTTAAATTACAGTTTTCTTTTCTAAAAAAATCCTAAATTCCTAAGACTTTGTCCGATTTCTTCGAACTTCCGATTTTTCGAACCTGCAAAATAAACGAATAAACAAGTTTTATCGGTTAGCTTGTCGTCCCGATACCCTCAGAGCCAATTCATCATCGGGTACGTCGGGAGGGTAACGGATTGCTCTGTCGCCAACTCCCGACTCAATTCCGACTTCAGCTAAAATCGACAGATCCTATTCTTGTTTCGAGGCAACCGAGAGAGAGAGAGAGAGAGAGAGAGAGAGAGAGAGAGAGAGAGAGAGAGAGAGAGAGAGAGAGAGAGAGAGAGAGAGAGAGAGAGAGAGAGAGAGAGAGAAAGTGCTTTTCCAGAAAAGTGATTATCAAAAAAGTGCTTATTGAAAAAACACTTATTTGAAAAAAGTGATTTTGCCAAACACAGCCTAACATAACTTTCCAGAAAATCACAAAGCCCGCGGATCAAACTCACTTCCTGAAAAAATGTAACAATCACAATAACAAAGTCATCCGTCAAGAAATAGAAGTCCAACCAAAACAAATTGCAACAGCCCACACAGAAGAATTTCCCAAAAATCTCGAGGGAGCCCTTGAAAAGGATGATGGCAACTTCATCAGAAAATGAAAAAACAAGTCAAAAGCCTGAAAACCGTCAAAACTGAAGAAAATGTAAATCAAGCCGTCAAAATCTCCACCAAATCCGGCGAATCAAACTAAAAAAATGGAAGAACAAAGTCACAGATCCAAACCCAAACCATAATAATAACAATATAAGAAGGGTCATCATAAAGTTCGAGAGGGAGGGGAACCTAGAGAAGGACGGCCAAAACTCGGAGGTTCAGAAGAGCGAAAAGCTCATCATTATCCCCATCCACGAAGAAGAAGAGGAATAAGCTTTTCCGAAAAACCCCAAACGTCACCGGAGACGCCTACCGCGACCGGACTCAGAGAGAGGATTTTCTTCCTCATCTTCATCATCGTCCAAGCATCTCAACCAAATGGATAACCAAATCAACACGAAGACCGCTTCAAACCTCTCAAGGTGAGCAATCTTTCATCAATGACGGTTTTTCTCTATTTCTTTTTTTCAGGTGAAACCAACCGGAGTAGGAGAAGGAAAAACATCGAACATGCAAGCGGAAGAGGAAGCGAAAAGCTTCGAAAGTGGCAACAATGGCCGCCGCGGCGGCTATTCGAAGAAGAAGGGGAAATAGGTTGCCTCAAACCCTAACAAATGACAAATGCAGACAACACTCCTTTTCCTCTCTTATCCTTTCGCTTTATTTTATTTTTTACTTTATTTATTTATTTAATTAGGTTAGTTTTTTATTTGTTACTTGTAAATAATAATTATATTGTAGGCATAATAAAAATTTTAGTTTTTT